GGTCTCGACCTGGGTTTCGAGGCGGGGTCGCCCTCGAACGCGGGTTCCCCAGGGGGGGACATCGGCCTCTCTCAACTCCTCAACGTCCCGGACTTCGCGTCCGAAACCCCTCACGCGGGCGGGGAGGACACGGCCATGGAATTCAACCCCGACGAGACCAAGGACGATACGAACGCGTCCTGAACGTGGACGCCCCGCCTGCGCACCGGCGCGGTCGTCCAGGAGGGCGTATGTAGCGCCCGCGTCACGCGCTACTTCTCTTCTCTCCCTTCGTACCTGATCGACTCCGTGCTTCGGGATTGTCTCTCCTCGATCTCTCAGCTTCTCTTATCTCACTCGTATCTAGCCCGAGTCTTCCCGAACCTTAGAGCTGTTATAGCGCCCATGAACCGTATATAAACCCAGATCTGTATGTACAAACTCCAGCGTTCAATCGAGATACTCATACCCTGTCTATCCCTCGAGCGAACCTCTCTCCCTCTCGTGACGCGCCACCTACCCCTTCGGGCCAGCGAGCGCGTCACCGATGTTCTGCTTATATAACGATAGCGCTCAGAGATAGTCTTCCGCTCTCATCTACCCGACCTTGATGCTCGACTCCGATGGCGCTCTCGAGGATCTTGGTGGTATAATGGGACTTCCAAGGGTTTGTTCCCCTCATAGGCAGGATAAACCATAGTACAGATGTGTAAGAAGTATTATATGCATTGTGAATTGTTTCGCTTAGCCGAGATGAGCATGGCTCACTCCAGTGTAGGACATGAAGGCACAGTGACCACTACCACTCTCATCAGCAAAAGGTGCATCCTATGGCCGAGCATGGCCATACCGGCGAATCCCGGCAAGCAGTGGCCGGCGCTCGTCTATCGGATGTCAAAGTCCTAACAGGTTGTTGCTTGCCAGAAGGAACCTGGCAAGCCATGGCATCAGCCACGCCGTCTCCTGGCCTACAATGTTGTCTCGAATGAGGCGCCGTGCAGCTTACACGCCGACGCCACTTGGTCGCGATGACACGTCCGAGTCCTTGCTCGGCATAAATAGCTTGGTCCCAGGACGTGGATTGCCCCAACTCATCTTCCTCCCACTCTCATCTTGCCTATAGGTCTATCTCCCTCTTCCCTCCGAGTTCTCTCTCTATGTAGCTAGCCTAAGAAAGTCACAGTAGGTCATTGACGTGCATTTATGCATCGGTATTCACTTGGTATAGGTAAGTCAACCACTAGAGCTCTTCTCCTGTAAGGTAGGTGGGCATCCGAGTTTTCGGTCGCCTCACTGGCTGGGCTTACAGACAGTTAGGAAGTCTCTCTGTTACTCACCCGGGTCTGTTATCTCCCGCTGTGGGGCACGGACAACCTCTCATGACGTTTGTGTCACAATAGGGTTCTCATCCAGATCCGAGCTCGGCTTGCGGCCTCGTGCATTTGGTGTGACAGTGGCGTTGTGATTCATTATTATGACCATGTCCGCATACCTTGTGACCTGTACATACTACATACTTGGCAGAAGAAATAATAAAATAAGGCCATCTCTGTTATCATTCTAACTGCGAGAATAGTATAGCATATCTAATTCACAGCAGATGAACAGATGCGAACAGATGCCGGTGCGCTATGGCCAGACTCCACACGAAGTAAGGTAAGCCCCGGTCATACTTTGAGGGAGATATGGCAAGGCCCACCAGAATTCACCATCCCTTTGCCATATCTAACGAATGCTACCATTGCAGACGAATCCTGTCCTTGCATTGCCTTCCTATGTGCTGATTTACTGATGCTGGTCGGTGGCTGAGAGGCGCTTAATCCTCTCCCCCTTCCCAGTGGGCACGGCGCTCACATTCTTTTGCGCTCTGAGCGCGTTTTGAGCCTGGGATGCTCACTCAAAAGTTGTAGGGAATGATGTGTAGAACATATTCTCTCGTGTAGATTTTTGATTCTTACAATATCTCGAGAACTAGGCTCCAACTTGAAAATCGCCACGAGAGAACTTGTGCATTCAATGTCTAAGATACCCCTTCACCACTCTGCTCGGTCATAATGGGAGGTTTCGGGGAGAGATCTTTCTTTTACATGTTGACCGCCCTTCAGCCACCAGCATTCCATTTGGCCGTCTTGCCGTCTAATCAAGCCGTACTATCGCGACCCCAGTGTTCGGACAACTGAGCGCCCAGTACAACTGTTCGCCGCGTCGCTCCCTCCCCTCTGCGGCGATAATCATGTAAATTTGTAGGATCATGCATCTACCATGATAGAACACACCTGAGATGTATGAAAGCACTCCGTTCAGAAGTGAGAGGACGGGAGGGCGAGGAGTGGGTCTTGACCCCAGTGTTCGGACATTTCTCCGCGGAGTGGTCACGAAAAGTCACATATGCCGAGAACTGCCGGTTAAGACTCCGACCCGAGTGTGCAGATTCGCGCGCACAGGCGCTCGAGCGGAGATTGACAATGAAGGACCGTCTTGTGGCGCAAGGTCACGCTCGATGGCCGGTATTCTACTGCACATCTTCTGTACCTCAAATACCTTCGGAAAAATATGCATCATATACAGGATTCCTAGGAAACGGTGCCAAAGTTTTTCGGGGATGAGCGCTCGACAAGGAAGCTGGACCGAGTACCAACATTGCACATGGCTCATCTACTGAACCTCTTCCTGCTAACAGATCGCAACAACACCTCG